CGAGGTGAGAGGCACACGCGGACGAAGGCGGCTACTCCAAGGAAGCCGCGCAACACCAGACTCAGAACCCTCAGCGCCAGCACCCTCAGCAGCTCCAGAACCTCCAGCTCCAGCGCCACCAGCGCCAGTACCTCCAGCAGCTCCCGAACCTCCAGCGCCAGCACCCTCAGCAGCTCCAGAACCTCCAGCGCCAGCGCCACCAGCGCCAGCACCTCCAGCAGCTCCAGAACCTCCAGCTCCAGCACCCTCAGTAGCTCCAGACCCTCCAGTAGAAACAACTCCAGTGGCAGAGTCACCAGCTCCAGCGCCTCCCGCAGCAGGGCCCCTAGCTCCAGCAGCGCGACCCTGACGGCCAGCGTACCACTCAAACAGCTGCTGTGGGGAGAGAGGGAGTCGACGACGAGAGTGCAGCGGCGAGGCACCAGCGGAGCCACTACGGAGACGGCCGCTCCCGGGAGACTGCTCACCAGACGCCTCAGCGCCCCCAGGCTCAGCACCCCCAGACTCCTCACACCCAGGCTCAGCACCTCCAGTCTCCGCACCCCCAGGCTCCGCACCCCCAGGCTCAGCACCCTCAGGCTCAGCACCCCCAGGCTCCGCACCCCCAGGCTCAGCACCCCCAGCAGCAGCACCACCCTCAGCAGCACCTGAGTCACCAGTGACCTCAACCTGAGGAGGAGGGTCTACCTGAGACACACCTGAAGGAGCAGGACCGGGAGCGGGGAGGGGGTCTACCTGGGGAGCACCTGGAGCGAGGAAGAGCGGCGGGGGGGGAGAGGGGCAGTGCGGTAGGGGAAGAGACGGTAGAAGGGAACCGACTCGTCGAACGTGACGTCCTGAGAGGGGAAGACACGGCGCGAGGTGGGGTGGTAAAACTGCCAACCAGGCGCGTCAGGGACAAAGCCAAGGAAGACACAGGGAACAGCGCGGGCGGAGAGCTTGTCCGCAGTGGTATCGCGGACAAAGGCACGAGCACCCCAGACCCGGAAACGCGACGCATCGCCAACCTTCCCCGTCCACAGCAGTGTGGGCGAGGTCTCCGGCAAGGAGACACGGGGCCAGAGGTTGAGCTGATGCGCGGCGTACCGGACCGCAAACGGCCACAGAAAATGGGGGGCAGCCGCATGGATCATGGAGGTACGAGCGACCTCCATGACTAAGCCAATGCGGCGCTCAGCAACCCCATTCTGCTGCGGAGAGGCCGGAAGCGTGAACGACTGGCGGATGCCGTGCTCCGCACAGTAGGCTGCCAAGAGGTCTGAGGAGAACTCACCACCTCTGTCAGAGTGCAGACGCAGGACAGGAAAGTCCGAGTGGAAACGCTCGCGGAGCTGGAGACGAGCAGCGCGGATCCAGGGGATCAAAACATCAGGGACCTCCCCCTTGCTGCGCAAGGGGAAGACCGTGGTGTAACGCGTGTAGTCGTCGACGACCAGCAGGAAGTACCGCTCGCGGCCCTGTCCACGGACGCGGGCTGGGCCCCACACGTCCAGGTGGAGAGTCTGCAAGGGAGCCTCTGTGGGAGGGAACGAGGAGGAGTGAGGAGCGGCGCGCTGCCGCCCCTCGACACAGGGAAGACAGGGAGGAGCAGGCGAGGGCGGTAGAGGAGGCAGAGTCTCTGGAAGTCCAGAGACAAGGAAACGGCGGTGCATGCTGCGAAGGCGCTGCACCGAGGGGTGACCAAGGCGGTGGTGCCACAGGACGGTCTGGTGCGACAAAGCGCGACACGAGCAGGGGGCCGCTAGCTGACCTGACGCAAACGCAGACGCAGACGCAGCTACCTGAGGGGACACAAGGTCAGTGTGTACAGACTCGAGCCAGGCTCTCGGGTGAACGTGGCCAGGTGCCGACCAGTCCGGGAGCACGTACAGTGGGTCACACGCTGACCTCCAGGGGTGAACTGGTCAACCCACACATCCTGTAGGTCAGCTCCACTCACCAAGTTCGTAGAGAACGAGGGGAGGTGAAGACCTGACAGGGAGCCAGACGGGACCGCAGGACACGGCAAGACCGTGGAGGAGTGCGCAAGGACTGGACCCCCAGAGGGGTCTGCCAGGGAGACTGCAACCGGCCGACAGAGCGGCGTGAGTGTGGTGCTGTCGCGAAAGAAGGAGCGGGAAGCACCTGAGTCAAGTGTGAAGGTGTACACGGCCTCAGCAGGCGCAGTACCAGAGAGAGCAGACTCACCAGCACCTGGAGCAGCAGCCTCACCAGTACCTAGAGCAGGAGACGCACTAGCACCTAGAGCAGCAGCCTCACCAGCACCTAGCGCAGGAGACGCACTAGCACCTAGAGCAGCAGCCTCTATACCTGGGTCAGGCGGTACGCACAGGGAACAGGCACGGTCATCACTAGTAGGCAATGCATACATGGCAGTGAGAATAGCATCATAGTCAAGAGCAAAAATATCTACCCCCTGCCCAAGCAGCTCCAGCCAGGTGGGGAGCTCAGCCTCGTCACCAAACTCGGTGCGCCAGTCGTCACTCAGACGGGCGAAGCAGCGGGACTGGGTGTGACCAAGTGTCCCGCAAGCCTGACCAGTCCGATCACCTGTGCGTGGGACGTACGGGCAGCGAACGGTACTCCGAGACCCTCGACTCTGAGCGTACCACTCGTGAAGCTGCCGGGACGTAAGTGTCTCGCGCGGACGCTGCTGCAGCTGCAGCTGGCCACTGCCAGACGCTCCAGGGCGACAGTCACGACGGCTACCGCCACAACCCCAACTAGCGTACCACTCACGAAGCTGCTGAGGCGTGAGAGACTCGCGCGGGCGTCGCTGGAGCTGCATCTGGCCCCCGCCAGTAGCAACAGTAGCAGCAGCAGCTCGGGCAGGGCAGGCGCAGCAGGAGCGGCAGGCAGGCAGGCAGGTAGACAGACAGGCAGAGGGCGCTGCAGTGCGCGAACAAGGCAGGTGCTCACCAGTGGCGGGCAGGGCCGGCGCTCGGCGGGCGGCGGCAGGGTAGGTGCACGACGGCGGCGACGGCGGGGCCGCAGCAGTAGCTGCAGAGTAGGGCCGCGGCAGCTGCAGGGCGGGGCCGCGGCAGCGGCAGGTCGGGGCCGCGTCCGCTGCAGGGCGGGGCCGGGTCAGCGGCAGGTCGTGTCGGCGGCAGGGCGCGGCCGCGTCAGAAACAGGGCGCGGCCGCGTCAGGGGCAGGTGGGTCGCGGCGCGCGGGGCTGCAGCGCGACGCGCGGGCAGCGGTCGCGGCGCGCGGGGCTGCAGCCCGACGCGCGGGCAGCTGTCGCGGCGCGCGGGGCTGCAGCGCGACGCGCGGGCAGCTGTCGCGACGCGCGGGGCTGCAACGCGCCGCGCGGGCTGCAGACGCGGCGCGCGAAGCAGCAGCGAGCCGCGCGCGGGCTGCCGAGGCGCGACTCGGGCAGGGTGGGCGACTCGTGGGGCAAAAAACGAGCCGCGCGCAGGAATTAGGTCTGCGCGCTCTAAGCAGCAACAGATCGCACAGTCAGCAGACAGTAGGCAGCAGGCAGACGGCGCGCGCAGCGCAGCACGTCACAGGCACAGTCAGTCACAGTCACAGTCGTGGGGTAGCGGTAGGTGGGCCCGAAAAAAAACGGTCCTACGGACCTACTGCTCTGAAACCATGTCAGAATCAAGAGACAGGAATGAATGAACTATCACAGAGTTGGGTACAAGTATGAAACCCTAAAAGGGGCTGTGCCCCATATTGGCTACCCCACTACAGCCTAGACATGTATAACAAGTATATGCTTTGACAGCAGCACGCGGGCTGCAAGGGCAGCGCGGCTGCAGGAGCAGCGTAGGAAGAAAACATTTACGGTTAGGGCAGGGCGGAACGTTCGGTGGGCCCTAGGAACGATTCTGCTCTAATACCATGTTAGAATAAGCAGGCAGGAATGATGGACTAGGTAGCATGCATGAGTACAAGTACCTAACCCTAAAGTGTTGTACCCCTTGTAGGCTAACCCACTATAGCCTAGAGAGAACACAAACATACAGTTTGACACATGCCTCACCTGCGAATCGGCACAATACTCGCCTCACGCGCTGCTCGGCTCATAACGCATGTTCGGCAGTTTGAGACGAGTCGTGCGCGTTCACGGTGGCGTGAGGAGGCAGCGTCGTGAGGCGACACGACGGACGACGAGGCGAGGCCGTGAGAGGAGGTCCCGCGGGATCACCGCGTGAGAGGGCGGAACTGACGTTGGTTTATCCCTATAATTACACTAAACTGCCCCACGCGTCTAGGTTTGTGTCGAAAACGGGGGTAATTTGCGCTGGCTGTTGAGTCGCGATGTGCTTAGCTACGTATTATGCTGCCTGTAGAGCATAGTGGCGTAGATCTCACATAGGCTGGATTCCGTATACTTTTGTCGACCCAAAAGTTTTGAATCACCAGCGAGTGCTGGGTGTCGGGGAGATCTCCCTCCCTTGTTCAGCTGTAATAGGGTTACCAATATTTCAAATTTCAAAACTTTTGAACCTCCCTCTTTCAAAAGTATACAAAAGCTTAGAATACCGCCACTGTGTCTTGATGGACATTTTCTGTCTGCGGCGAACAACGCTGTTGGGTGTAGTGTATGGCCAATGGGCCTGGCTTTGAATAAATCGTGAAGGATATTCGGTGCGTTCCGGTGCATTCACCGACCTACACTATCCTTCCTCAAATATTCCCTCGTATTCGTGTGTGGTACCTTGTCGACATGCAGCTCCGAAATACGGCGAGGAATCCTCACCTCACCGAGACGACAAGTACGGTACAGCAGCAGTAGGGACGAGCAAGCACCACCACTCCACACAGCAACTCACAACAACGCACCACCGTCAGTATCACACAACACAACTGTCACCAGCGCACGAGTATTTTGATAAGCGTTGCCTTGTGCTGAAATGGCGAGCATTTCTTCGAGCATTGCGCGGGGCAGTCTATCTAGAGTGTTCACGCCCGTGACCCGGCGCACTCATTGCGTTAGTTCGGTCAAGTGTCCGTTATCCACTCTCCTGACCAGCACCGCCGGTTTCTACCATGGGAGAAGGGCCAGCTCCTACCGATCCACTTCAGAAGGCTTTACAAGGTCTCGTCAACTTTTCCTAGACCAACATTTACGAACCACGTCGTTTCACCTTCGCGTTAGTAGTACCCAATTTGAGCAGATACTGATGTTGTGTCAGTCTCAAATGTTTGTCATTGTGATTTCTTCTGCGTGGGCCAGAAAGTGGCGCCGTGGATTGGAAAAGCAGCGATTATGCCACCAGGAATGACCAATCCGATGGCGTCAAGAAGGATGATTCGAAGGGCGGCGGGAGCGAGAAGAAGCCTCCTCCTCCTCCTCCTCCTCGTCCATCCGTCGCGTATTACAAGCTGTTCGCCTACGCCGACACCTTGGACTACCTGCTCATTGCGTTGGGGTCCGTCGGAGCGTGCACGCATGGCGCCACGCTGCCAATCTTCTTCCTCTTCTTCGGCGAGCTCATTGACTCCATGGGAGCAAGTGACATCGGAGGCGTCAGCAAAGTAAGCTGTACTGCATTGGTCGTTCGTTTCCTCGCTCCCCGTCTTCGTCCCTGGCCGCGTGTGCTGTGTGTGTCCCGTCGCCTGTTGCTTACACCAATGCGTGCTTGTTTGCTCATTTCCCCCCCCAAATTTCCCCTTGCCCTACCACAGTACGCGGCGTATCTGGTCTATCTGGGGCTAATCGTCTGGCTGGGATGCTGGCTTGGTACGTCGCCTTGCTTCCATAACTTCCTCCCGCTCGGCGCTCTTTTCCTCATCGCCACAATGCTCACTTAATTTCTCTTCTCAAACCTCAACATCCCTCATTCTCCTCCCCATCTAAACCAAGTCATCCGTCCGTCCGCCCCCTCTCCCTCGTCTCCCGCGTCTCGCCACGCAGAGGTGTCGTGCTGGATGCACACGGGCGAGCGTCAGGCGGCGCGCATTCGCGAGCGGTACCTGGCGGCGATTCTGAAGCAGGAGATCGGATTCTTCGACACCCACTCCACCTCCGGTCAGATCGTGAGCAACGTCTCCAGCAACGTGCTGCTCGTCCAGGACGCCATTTCCGAGAAGGTGCGGCACGAGCGAGAGAGGGCATACTCTAGTACAGGAAGTGGGGATGGACGGAACGGAGTGGGGGGGGGGGGGGGGTGGGAAGGGGCCAGAGGGGAGAATGGGTAGGTTTGATAAAGCAGTTACAGGACAATGAGACTAGTACAGACAGGATGATGGAAGCAACCACGATGTAACTTCTGGATTGGAAATAAAGCGACAAAGGGTACTCCTGGTTGAGCCCCACCCCCTCTCCTCCTCCCCCCACTTCCCTTTCCCATCACTGTCCTCCCCCTCCCCTCTCCCCCCTCCCCACTCCCCCATCCCCATTCCCCCCTCCCCCCACCCCCACTTCCCCCTCCTACCCCTTCCCCCCTCCCCCTCCTCCCCCTCCCTCCACCCACCCCCGCCTTTGCATGTCTCCGTGCCTCCCCCCAAGGTGGGCAACTTCATGCATTTCATTACAACGTTCCTTGCGCCCTTCCTCATTGCTTCACTACCCTCTCACAGCTTTTGAGGCGCCTCCAAAGCCCTCCACAACATCCCTCCCCCCCCCCCCCACCCCCCCCTTCATCTCCCCCTCCCCCCCGCTCCCCTCTCCCCCCCCCCCTTCCCTGCATGTCTCATGGTTCCCTCCGTCCAGGTGGGCAACTTCCTGCATTTCATGGCAACATTCGTGGCAGCGTTCATAATCGGCTTCACCACGCTCTGGCAGCTCACGCTCGTCATCCTCGCCATCGTCCCCCTCATGGCGGGCTGTGGCGCCGTCTACGCCATCGCCATCACGGGCCTCACCTCTAAGGGGCAGCACGCTTACGCCCAGGCAGGAGCAGTCGCGGAGCAGGCGGTGGGGCAGGTGCGCACGGTGTACTCGTTTGTAGCAGAGGAGAAGACGCTGAAGCAGTACAGGGACGCGCTGGAAACGACGGTGCAGCTGGGGTTCCAGGGGGGGTTGTTCAAGGGCATGGGCCTGGGCGGGATGTGCTGCGTGATGTTCTGTGCGTGGGCGCTGCAGTTCTGGTTCGCCGCGAAGCTCGTGGCGGATGGCAAGGCGACGGGCGGCGAGGCGCTCACCACCATGTTCTCTGCGCTCATCGGCGGCATGTGAGTGCCCCGCAGCAACCGGGCCTGCGCTATGTAGAGTAGAGGGAATATCCTTTGTGGTCCTCCTGTCCTGTGGCATGGATCAGCTGTGCTCGTCAATCTGGAGTACTCGATTAAGACATGGCTCATGCCGTCATCACTGCCTTCTCCACCCTCGCTCTTTGCTCGCCTCCCACCTCCCACCTCCCTCCCACATCCCTCTCCCTCTCTCTCTCCCCCCGCCACACTTCCTCTGACCATCTCCCCGCCTTCCCTTTCCCCCCTGAACTGCCTCCCCGCACCCGCCTCTCTCTCAGGTCTCTGGGTCAGGCGATGCCAAACGTGACGGCGTTTGCCAAGGGGCAGGCAGCGGCGCACACCATCTTCCAGGCCATGCAGCGCAAGCCACCCATGCATGTGGACGACACCTCGGGCAACATCCCCGCAGCCGTCAAGGGCCACTTGGAGCTCCGCAGCGTGTGCTTCTCATATCCCGCGCGCCCGCACGTCGCGATTTTCGAGGACTTGTCGCTCGCGATTGCGGCCGGCACGACGGTGGCCATCGTGGGGTCGTCGGGGAGCGGGAAGAGCACGGTGGTGGCTCTTGTGGAGAGATTCTATGACCCGCTTGCAGGTGCAGTGTATCTGGACGGGCGCGATATTCGCTCCCTGCAGCTGAAGTGGCTGAGGGACCAGATTGGGCTTGTGAGTCAGGAGCCGGCGCTGTTTGCGACGAGCATCAAGGAGAATATCATGTATGGGAAGGATGGGTCGACGATGGAGGAGGTGCAGGCGGCAGCCAAGGTGGCTAACGCACATGACTTCATCTCCGCCCTGCCCGAGGGGTACAACACGCAGGTCGGGGAGCGGGGAGTGCAGATGTCCGGCGGTCAGAAGCAACGAATCGCGATTGCGCGCGCCATTCTCCGCAACCCCGCGATCCTCCTCCTGGACGAGGCCACGTCATCCCTGGACGCGGAGTCAGAGAAGGTGGTGCAGACAGCTCTGGAAGGAGCCATGAAGGGCCGCACCACCGTTGTGATCGCCCACAGGCTGTCGACGATCCGCGGGGCGGACTCGATCGCAGTGGTGGGCAAGGGGCGGGTGGTGGAGCAGGGCACGCATGACGTGCTGATGGCGAAGGAGGGCGAGTACGCGGCGCTGGTGAAGCTGCAGCTCCAGGCCGTGCAGGCCGTGGGCAATCCGGACGAGGTGCATGGCGCCGCGCAGTCCTTGTCCTGGTACGTTGGGTGTGGGAGGGGGGTTGGGGTTGGGTGGGGCGGGGTGCTGCGGGTGAAGCTGCAGCTCAAGGAGGTGGAGGCCGTGGTCAACCCACCCAGAGGGCGCCATGGATGGCGGTGCGGGGTTGTTTTCCTGGTGTGCTGGGTGCGGAACGGGAAGGGGGGGGGCTTGGTGGGGAAGGGTGCCACTGCTGAGAGTGCATGCCAGGGGTGCAGAGTTTGTTGTGAGTGTTTGGGGCTTATAAGATCATGTACGATTCTACTGTATGTTGGGGTTAGATTGTTGTGGTGCTCTTGCACTGTGTTACCAGGATGCACAGCATTCCAAACTCTCTCCTCGCTCCCCCTTCTTCCGCTTCCCTTCTTCCCCTTCCATCTCCCCCCTTTCCCCCATCAACAGCCGTCAGAGCAGTGAGTTACAGCAGTCAACCGTGTCGGACGGAGGCAGGTCTGCAGTGGACTGTGACGGAGTGAAGGAGGAGAGTGGCGAGGCCAAGAGCAACGGGTCGTGGTGGCGCCTCTTCAACCTCACCCTCCCCGACTGGCCCCACACTGCCCTGGCTGTAGTGGGCGCGGCTCTTGCTGGCGCCCTCAACGCCTCCTTTGGCCTCTTCCTCACCATTGTGAGTCCTCTGGGGCAGTGTTCGCCCCACCTACCTTCGCCTTCCTTTCTTTCTGTTTTCTTTCCCTTCTCTTTTTCGCGTTGCACCTTGTTCATTCACCCCTTGATTGTGCGGATTTCACTTGCAGCTGGCCGAATGGCCTTATCTCATCACCGCAAGGCACCACCCCCCCCCCCCCCTATCTCCCCTTCCACACTTCCCCTCCCTCCTGCCTCCTCCCTCCTCAAATGATCCTTTGTAATAATAGTCAGCATGTGTCCTCCCTCCTCTCGCCCCATCAGATGGTCACGGCCTACTACAAGCCAGTGGACCAGATGCTGTCACAAGTGAACACATGGGCCGTCATCTTTCTGTGTCTGGGCGTCATCACCTTCCTCGTCTACACTCTGCAGCACTACAACTTTGGCGTGGTCAGCGAGAAGCTCACCGTGCGCGTGCGCGAGCTCATGCTCGCCTCCATCCTGCGCAACGAGGTCGCGCAAGAACAGCAGCGGCGCCATTGCCGCGCGCCTCGCCTCCGACGCCACCCTTGTGCAGGGCGCCATCGGGGGGCGCATTTCAGTCGTCGCTCAGAACGTGTCCCTCATCACCGTGGCCTTTGTGATCTCCTTTGTGCTCAACTGGCGCATGGCGCTCGTCGTCATGGCCACCTTCCCGCTCGTTATAATCTCCGCAGCAGCACAGCAGGCGTTCATGAAGGGCTTTGTGGGGGACCTCAAAGTGGCCCACGAGAAGGCCAGCAACGTGGCAGTGGAAGCGGTTGGGAACATCCGAACTGTGGCTGCTCTTTCCTTGGAGGACAAAGTGCTGAGGCTCTTCCGGAAACAGCTTGAGCCTCCGCTGAAGCGGTCTCTGCAACGCGGGCAGATCGCAGGGCTTGCTTTCGGCGGGTCGCAGTTTTGCATGTATGTGTCGTTTGCAATGGGGCTGTGGTATGGGGGGCAGCTGGTGGAGCAGAAGGATGGGACGTTTGAGAACGTGTTTAAGGTGTTCATGGTGCTGACGTGGTCAAGCTTTGCCATTGCGGAGACGCTGACTCTTGCCCCGGACCTTGCCAAGGGCGGGTATGCCATCAACTCATTCTTCGCTGTGCTGGACCGTCAGACCAAGATCGTGCCTGACGATCCGACGGCTGAGATGGTGGAATCAGTGAAGGGGGAGATTGAGTTGAGGCAGGTGCGGTTTGCATACCCTACCCGCCCAGACGCCGTCCTGTTCAAAGATTTCAGCCTCAAGGTCCCGGCTGGGAAGACTGTAGCTCTGGTTGGGCCGTCTGGCAGTGGCAAGAGCTCCGTCATCTCCCTTATAGAGCGATTCTACGACCCGCTTGCAGGCGTGGTGCTTGTGGATGGCAAGGATGTGAAGAGCCTGCATCTGAGGTCGCTGCGGTCGTTCGTTGGGCTGGTGAGCCAGGAGCCTGCGCTGTTTGCGGTATCGATCCGGGAGAACATTCTGTATGGGCGGGAGGGGGCGACTGAGGCGGAGATTGTGGAGGCAGCCAAGGCTGCAAACGCACACACGTTCATCAGCAGCCTGCCCCGTGGATACGACACTGAGGTGAGGGCACGCCCACTGGTTTTTGGTTGGGTAGACTGGAAGCAGAGAGGGGCAGGGGGGAGGGAACAATGTGCCGGGGGAGAGGACGAAAGGGTTTGGTCAGGTCAGGGTGTATGTAGGGTGTCTGACAACTCTCTTCTGTCATCTGGTTCGCCCCTTGGAGTGGACCACTCCTTCATGTATTCCTGCTCCAGTGATTTTTTGCCCTTGTTTGCTTGCCTCCCCTGCCGTTGTCTGCTCGTTCACCCCTGTTCAACCCTCCCGTGCTGATTCCTTCACCCTTGTTCTCATTTTTCTAAAACCATAGGTGGGAGAGAGGGGTACGCATCTCTCAGGAGGCCAGAAGCAGCGCATTGCCATTGCCCGAGCTGTGCTCAAGAACCCAGCCATCCTCTTATTGGACGAGGCCACGTCAGCCCTGGATGCTGAGTCAGAGCGTGTGGTGCAAGATGCTCTGGACCATCTGATGGTGGGCCGAACGACGGTTGTGATTGCCCATCGTCTCAGCACGATTCGCAACGCTGATATTATTGCGGTGGTGCAAAGTGGGAAGATTGTAGAGCAGGGAACGCATGATGTGCTGTTCAGCAACCCCACGTCGGGGTATCATTCGCTTGTGAAGTTGCAACAGTCAAGCAGAGATACAGGTTTGTGAGCAGGCCCTCAGATTCACTTTTAGGGTCGTCAACCCATCAGGGTCCCCCTGTGTGTAAACTCTGATTGACAGTGTTCCAAAAAAAAAAAGCCTGAAATGACAGTGTTGCGTTTGTAAAAAGCCTGATGCATCAGTGTTACACTAGTAAAAAGGCTGTCACTAACGCGTCGCAGGTGATGGCAACGGGGCAGGATCCTTGGCAGCCCTCCAGCACCACATGGTGGCCAAGTTCGGATTGGCCAAGACTGACTGCTGCAGCGAAACGGCCCAATGGTGTGAGGCGCCGCGCCAACAAAACACCTCTAAACGTGAACCAGAGGCAGAATTTCACAGGTTGGCCTCGCCACGGGGTGCTTACACCTCGGCAATCTGAGATTCCCTGTAATTGTGGTCAAATCCACACGGCACAGGTAAGAATCACTTTCAGTGTTGGTTTCGTTACAACGTTGTGGCATCAGTGTACTAGGGGAAAAAAGTCTGAAATTTCAGTGTGGCCTAAAAAAAAAGGCTGAAAGATCAGTCCCTCAGAATTCTCAACACTGACTTTTCAGGGTAGGTAAAAAAAGGACTGCCAAAATCAGGAATTTCAGGGTTTTTTTCCTGATATCTGAGGCCCTTGTGAGGAGGCGGGCTGAGGGGAGAAATCAAACTACCGGTAAGTGTTGTGTTAAAGTTATATTTATATACCCTGCTGTCAAATGTTAATGTTATGATAGGCTGCAGTGAGGCACTCCTTAGAGGGTACAACATTTGTAGGACTCCTACTTGTATGCTTGCAAACCCTAATCCCAATCATTTCCGTTGTGCTCCATTCTTGAGATGGTATCATGAGTAGGTCGTTCCTAGCCTAGCCCTCCGTGCGACTAGCGCCCTCCGCACCCTCCGTCGCTCCTAGCCCTCCGTGCGCCTAGCGCCCTCCACGCCCTCCGTGCGTCCCGCACCCTCCGTGCGCCTAGCGCCCTCCGTGCGCCTCGCGCCCTCCGTGCGCCCTAGCCCGTCGCCTCGGCCCCGCGCCCTAGCCCGCGCCCTCACCGTCGCGTCGGCCTCGCGCCCTAGAAACGCCGCCCGCACCCTAGCCCGCGGCCCGCCTACGCGCACCTCCGCGCACCTCCGCGCACCTCCGCGCACCCCCGTAGCCCGCGCCCGTCGCGCCCCCCCCCTTAGTGCGGCCCGCGATTTCGACCGCGGCCCACCCACGCGCCTCTCCGCGCACCTCCGCGCGTCCCCACGCGCCCGTCACGCGCCCCGTAGCTCGGCCCTCCGCCCGCCCCTCCGCGCGCCCCTACGTCGCGCCCCTTAGCGCAGCCCTCCGCCCGCCCCCTCCGCGCACCTCTTTGCGCGGCCCCTCGACCGCCCCTTAGCGCCTCTTACGGCCGCCCCACCGCGCCCCTGCACCTGCGCACCTCCGCCCTCACTAGCGCGCGCCCCTCGGTTGCACCCTAGACCGCCCGATCCGCACCTACCCTCGGCACGTGGCCGGTCTCACCCCTCCTCCGCCCTGTTTCCCGGGCCCTCCCCATTCTCCCGGTCACTGGCCTTCACCTCAGCGGCTGGCAGCCGCTCATACCTCCAGTAGCTAGCCGTGGCGCCGAATCCTCCCTAGCTTCTAATCGCTCCGTCCCTGGCGTCCCTAGCCGCTCTCCGCCTCACCTCGTTTGCTCCCTCCGCTATCGGTTCCCTCATAGTTTTCTAGCTAGCGTCTCTCGCCCTCAGTAGCCGTCCTCCTCGTTCTTAGCTTAGCCTCCGCCGTGCTCCAGCCGCCTCGAGCATGTCTTCCGTTATGGAGTCCCGTCGCCTCCGTTTCGACGCGGAGGGACGCCCGATAGAGTTCGGCACCTGGCAACGCCAGACCACGCGCTTCCTCACCAGCCAGCGACAGGACGGCGCCACACTGTGGGCTCACGCGTCTGGTGCCCTACAGGCCCCCCCGTCCCCCGCCGCCCTGCCGACCGCCCCGGAGCCGACCCCTACGGCCCAGGCGGACTACGACCGTCGGGTCCTGGCCAGGGACGTGTGGCTCTCGCGTGACGCGGCCGCCGCTCTCACTCTGTCGGAGCTTCTCCCCCCGACTGAGGCCGCCCACTTTGACCAGGTGGAGACTGCACAGGGGGTTTGGGAGGCTATTGTTGCTCGCTACTCCACCCCCTCCTCTGCCTCCCTCAGTCGCCTCCTCATGCCGTTTGTGTTTCCCGATCTAGGCTCGTTTGCGACTGTTTCCGACCTAGTGACTCACCTCCGCTCGCTTGACACCGGTTTCCGCGCTGCCTGTACCGACGCACATCTTCTAGTTGCTCCCCCCCCCATGTGGCTCACTGTTCACTGGTTAGTCACCCGCCTCCCTGACCGCCTTGCCACTGCCCGCGACGCGCTTCTTCAGAAGCACCCCACTGAGCTCACTATCGACCTCCTAGCGACTGCTCTAGGGACCATCGAGAGCAGTCTCCTCACTGTTGCCTCCGCCACTGATGCGGTGGCCCCCCGTCTCTTTGCGGGGTGTGCCGCCCCTCAGCTTCCCACTTTCACCGCTACCCGCGCTTCTGCTGCTGTGTCGGTCGCTGAGGACACCGCTGCCGTTTCTGCCGCAGACTGGCAGAAACGGGGCAAGAGTGGCAAGAAGGGCGGGAAGGGGGGAGGTGGGGGCGGTGGAGGCGGCGGTGGAGGTGGCGGTGGAGGTGGGAGCGGCGGTGGTGGCGGAGGCGGCGGCGGCGGCGGCGGTGGTGCACCAGGGGGAGGGGGCCTTGGAGGAGGTGCTGGACAGACAGGCCCACCCACAGGTGGTGGCCCGACCGGTGGGGGCGTTCCCCCCCAGCAGCAGCAGCCACAGCAGCACCTGCCACAGCAGGGACAGCAGCAGCAGCAGGGACAGCAGCAGCAGCAGGGACAGCAGCACCAGCAGGCGCCGCAGCAGTTCCAGCAGTGGGGGCCCCCGCTGCAGTGGGGTCCGCAGCAGCACTGGGGTCCCCCGCCGCAGTGGGGTCCGGGAGGCCCTGGGAGCACCAGCCCCAGCAGCAGTACTTCCAGCTGGGCCCCTCGCCCCCCTCGCCGTGACGCTGGCCCGTGCACCCACTGGTGCGTCACCGGGCCGGGTAGCCCCTGTCTCTGTGGTCGCGACGACCACTCTGCCGCGCGGTGCTTCCGCCGCCTCGACGACCTCTACCGGGCTCGTTGGGGCCCTCTGGCGGTCACGCCTCGCTGGTCTCGTCTGTTAGCCCGTAAGATTGATGTCTTTGATTTGTCCATGGACGATGCGCGTCAGCATGCTTTGTATGTTGATGCTGACTTTAGTGCTGATGGATCTGTGTGCCCGCGTGTTCGTAGGTTAGCCTGCTTGCCTCCTGCTAGTGTAGCCTTGTGCCTGTCTAGCTTAGGTGCTTGTGTTGCTGCTCTAGGTGCTTGTGTAGCGACTGGGTCAGGTGACCCTCCGGCTGAGGCCTCTCTGTCGTTCACGCTGGACTCGGGCGCGTCTCAGTGCTTCTTCCGCGACCACACGACCCTTTCACCACTCCTCACACCTGTGTCGGTGGCTCTGGCTGATCCTACCTCTGGACCAGCCGTTGCGCGTAGCTCCACCACCCTCCCGTGCCCTGTGGTCCCCTCTGGTGTCTTGCGCGGCCTCCACATCCCCTCGTTCACTCGGAACTTGGTGGGTGTTGGATACCTCCAGGACAGGGGGATCACGGTTACCTTCGTGGGGGGTGGGCGGACTGCAGTCTGTACAGACGCTACCACAGGTGCTGTTCTGGCCACGTTTACCAGGGAGCCCCGCTCCGGTCTCTACGTTCTCCACACCGAGCGCTCCCCGGTCGCGTCCTCCCCTCAGGTCGTTGCGTCCCCTCCGGCCCAGGTCCCCAGTCCAGTTGCTGTGTCTAGCCAGGTAGTAGTGTCCGGTCCGGTCGCTGTGTCCAGTCCAGTCGCTGCGTCTTGCTCCTGTCGCTCTCTCACCCACCGCACCGTCCTGTGGCACCACCGCCTTGGCCACCCGTCGCTCCCTCGCCTACGTGGCATGCTCAGTCAGGGACTTGTCTCAGGTCTCCCACGCACCTTCCCGTCGCTCCCTCTCTCGCTTGCCCCTCCTTGCTCTCCGTGCGTCGCCGGTCGCTTACGCGCCACTCCCCACTCCTCCTCCCTTCGTCCGGCCACCGCTCCCTTCGAGACTCTCCACTTGGACGTCTGGGGCCCTGCCCCGACGCAGGGGTCTGGGAGGGAGCGTTACTTTCTGGTGGTCGTCGACGACTTCTCCAGGTACACCACAGTGTTCCCTCTTGCGAAGAAGTCCGAGGTGACTGCTACGCTGATCAGGTGGCTTCTAGCCACTGAGGGCACTCGTGGTCGTCGAGTCAGTTGTCTCCACTCCGACCGTGGGGGCGAGTTTCGCTCCGGCATTCTCGGCGGATTCTGCGGCGAACAGGGCATCACCCAGTCCTGGACGCTGCCAGAGTCCCCACAGCAGAATGGGGTTGCTGAGCGCCGCATAGGCTTGGTCATGGACATCGCCCGCACGTCCATGATCCATGCCCGTGCGCCCCATTTTCTGTGGCCCCACGCGGTTCGCTACGCCGCACACGAGCTGAACCTCCAGCCGCGTGTCTCGCGGCCCGAGGCTTCACCGACCAGTCTTTGGACTGGTTCCCCTGGTGTCGGGTCGGCCTTTCGAGTCTGGGGCTGCCTTGCACTTGTTCGCGACACCTCCGCGGACAAGCTCTCGGCACGCGCCGTCCCCTGTGTCTTCCTTGGTTTCCCAGTAGACTCTGCCGACTGGTCCTTTTACCACCCTCCCCTCCACCAGTTCCTAGACTCCCGTGACGTCCGGTTTGACGAGTCCGTGTCCTACTACACCCGGTACCCCTGTCGCGGTCTCCCGGTACCCCCTCCCCCTCTTTTCCTCGCACCCTCTCCTCCTCCTGCTCCCGCTCCTCCGGTACCCCCGCCCCCCCCTGGTCCTGCCCCGTCTGGTGTGTCCCACGTTACCCCTCTACCCTCGGTCGCGCGTCAGGTAGCGT